CCCCACGCCCTCAGCAGAGAGATGTGGCAGCCTGCCCCTGTAAAGACTTCCAGCCTTGGAAACTGGGGCACTTTTACTCTGCCCTGTAAGATTCCCAGGCACCGATGGCACAAAGCTGCTAACGGTGAGGTCAGTGGTTCAAAGTCTGGAGAGAAGCGGCACTTTCTGCTCTGTAAAAAATTAAAGTCTGGGGGGAAAAAAATTAAAGTCTGGGAAACCCCAAGTGGCAGTTCTGCCCTACCTCACATTACTCACTCCATTCCACCTCATCTCGACCCTGCACGACTGGGTAGAACTGTCCCTGTGGGTTTCCCGGACGTAGATCCTTACAGCAGTAGAAAACCTCATCTTTCTCCCACTCGGTAGCATGTGGTTTCCAACTGCTAACCTCACTGTTTTCGGCCAAAGACAACAGTGATTTGAGAAACTCTGTAAGCTTATTCTGAAGTTCCAGACAAGCAAACGCTGGGGTTTGCTGCCTCTAAACTGCTTCAAAACTCCTGTGAAAAGCAAGTTATGTCCCCCAAATTACGTGACAAAAAGCAGGTTTTGCAATGATCATAGGAAACAACTTTTACAATAGGAAACAATTTGTACATTTTTCCAAGGCCAGACCACCATCCCCCAAAGCACTGTGATCTACTGCTTATCTAAATAGGGGAATGCTTGGCCCTGCCAGGCTAGGCCTGGCTATCTGTCTTTATAGACTTGCTTAAGGCCTTCCTGAGGTAGAAGACCGTCCCTACTGATTAAGCTTAAAAGGAACTTTTACAGCAAAGGAGGGGGCGGTTACATTTTGGATTTCCCACAACTAAACCTTAGGTTATGTCTTATTTTTAGTACTTTGGTTAACTGCCGCTAACTCACGCATTCACTCCCCTCTACCACTCTGAGTCGGAATGGAGTTTGGGGTTTATTTTAAATGGCCAAGTTAGAAATATGGGCCATGCAGCAGGTTTGGTAAGCTACAAAGGAGAGTTTCTGAGAAAACATTGTTTTCTGACCGCTCCCATCCATTCTACCCCATTAAAAGTTAACAGGATCTTGGAAAGTTCAAAATATTATTCAGTGGGTCACCAAAACTGCACTTAGAAAGAAATGAACCATTTCGTTTGCCCGTAATGATCGTAATAAGCCTCTTAGCCACTTAAACATGCTTCCGATTACTCGGGAAAACAATTTTTTTTAAAAACCCCAAACTCACTGTCATCAAGTCCACTGGGAATCACAGGGGCCCTGTAGGACAGAGTCGAACTGCTTCTGTGATTTTCTGAGACTGTAACAGGAGGAGAAAGCCTCACCTTTCAACCGAGGAGTAGCTGGTGGTTTTGAACTGCTGACCTTGCAGTTACCAGCCAACGTATAACCCACTATGCCACTAGGCCTCCTCCTTACTAATCTGAAGACTGACCTAATTGTTGATGATGGCCTTGGTCATTTCCAGATTTCTCCATAGGGTTTCTGGAACAGTTGGCCTATTTGGGGTGTCACCCTGTGTATAAGAATCCCTAAGACAAGGGGGGTGGGGGAGAGTTAGCCTAATTACTATCATGCGTTTGGTGTGTGATCGTTATAAATAGCAGGCCAATCATTTATAATGCATGGCCTATGAAGCTATTAAAAATTCAATTATCTCCAAACAAGAAAATACTGTGTAAGATGCTAGAAAGCAATTGTGTATCTCAGTAGCCATTATTAATGCAAACCTGCCTCAGAGCTTTAGCCAGAGCCCCAATGTCACTTTGAAAATGGGGGGATTTAGAAGTAATCACTAAGCTTGGGAGACCCAACACGGGATGTTTTTTTGTTGTTGCTGTTTTAATCCTCTATTCAATTGAGGGTGGAATCACAGATTGCAATGATCATCCCCAGCTTCGATTCTCAAAGCAGTCTTAAAGGCTGCAGTTATGTGCCATCACAACCCAGTTATGTGCCATCCTACGTCCAAAAGGGTCCTTGTAGGTTGGGAAGTGGACTGCTCACAGCAAGGTTGGCAGCTCAAAGCCATCAGATGCTCCATGGGAGAAAGATGAGGCTGTCGGCTCCCTTAAAGAATTTAGTCTCAGAAACACACCACATGGAGCCCATGAATCAGAATCAACCCAATGGCAGTGGGTTGTGGCTTGTTTGTTTGGGGGAGATGTCTGTCCATTATCTTACCTTCCCCTCTACCTACCCATCTTCAGGATGCGTATTAAATGAATCAGTCTGCAAAGCTGCTAAGACGAACACGTGATGTTAGAAATTGTAAAGCCTAAACTAGCTAAAAGAGCCCACTGCCTTGACTGTTCCCAAATCGATTTTCCTTTTGTGAGTCCAGTCTACAAGCCCGTCTATAAAGAATGGAGGCTACCGACCGAGGAAATGTCTCCCTCCCAAGGATTCTCCTCCCCTCCGCCCTGCCTAATCCAGCCATTGGGGTTGCTTTGGTTTTGCTGCCCCCTCAGAGACAGCCCGGAGGGTGTCTGATTGGGTCAGTCCTGTTAAAGTCGCTGTGTTCTCTCACCAAGAATTTCACGAATCTCCTTTGAGAGCCAGTTCCTAACCAGAATGCTTCTTCCCAGTTCCTCCCCCCTCCCTTCTGGCTTCTCAGTTGTGTCTGCATGTTCTGCAGGAGAAGAACAATAAGAACCTCTGACGTGGACATGTAAGCCTGACTGTTGGCTCTGAGCCTTTGGAGCAGCATTTGGATGGGTTAAATTCCCTGGTCAGAACCCAAGCCCAACCTCTAGTCCAGTCTATTCCAAGCTACTTGTAAGATAAAGGAGAACCACAGGTCAGGCTCCTGTACATGTAAAATCCTAACAGAGGCGACGACCTCTTTTTTGTCCCACACAGCTGCTGGGCCACTGGCAGGCCGATTTCATTTGCCAGCCTGGCGGGCAGTGAACCCACTGCTGTACCATCAGAGCACCTTCAAATCTTTGAAGTGGGTCTGGTGAGGGACAATAAGGCACAGAAAGCCTACAACTTGCCCAAGATCAAAAATAATACAACCAAAATGTGGACAGCACTTAAGAGTACAGTTAGAGTTCTTTCTGGTGGCTTGCTGAGCCTGGGATGCATAGTGGGAAGGATTTTTCCCCCCCTTCACACCATCTGTACTTGGGAGAGCTGGGGCTGGAGTTGGCACGAAGAATACTATTCACACCGACCCGTTCGCTCCCACCACACCTATTTGTTCTATCTTCCTGGTGCATAGCTTTCTACTTTGTATTATTACCAAGTTATTCATGCGTGTGCCAGATCTTCAAAGGATCCTGTTGGGACATGGGTTCGTGTTGGGCCACTAACCTGCAAAGTTGGCAGTGCAAATCCACCAGCTGCTCCAGGAGAAAGATGACGCTGTCTGGTCACAGTCGCCTAAACCTTAGAGGGCAGTTCTCCTCAGGCCTGTGAGTCACCATGAGTCAGAATTGACTCCATGTTAGTGGGGTGGGTTTTCTGATCTTTGGTCCCCTAGTGCATGGGCCTTGTCCTGTAAACTGCCCCCGACCCCCAAGGTGGACCTCATACACCTTGCTTTCCAACTGATGCTGGTGGGGCACATTGTAGGCACTTAAATATATGGGCTGATGAGTGAAGGACTGAACAAATGAACATGCTGGGCTTGCAACAGAGCTTGAAGTACATCTTAAGTTTATTTTGTGGCTGCACAATGAGCTAAATCCTAATTTCAAACTTTGTTTCCATATAGCACATTTTCAATGAGGATTCTTGGGGGGTGGGGAATAAGTGATTATTTTCTGATGTTCTCTTAATGGTAATGGGCTGCAAACCACCAAGTGAGCGGTTTAAAACTACCAGCCATCCTTCGGGAGACGGATGAGGCTCTCTAGTCCTGGGAAGAGTTACCTGCTCAGAGACCCACTGGGGCAGTTCTGCCCTGTCCTGTAAAGTCATTATGAGTCAGAATCGACCCCAAGGCAGTATCTTTTTTTTTTCTTCCCTCGTGTTCTTGGTGTTGTACTGATAACCCATTTAAAACTACCAACGGCATGAAACCTCCCTGTCAATTCTGACTCGCAGCCTCCCTCTACATAGGCTTTTAAAAAACCAGAATGTGTACTGTATTAATTACTATCCACCCACATCTATTAAGATTCATAAAAGCCTACAAATATCGAGTCACAATGGATTTTAATGATTTCTGTGTAAATGTATGCCGGGGAATGCCGTATTCTCCCCAACTGAGAGTGGTTTGTGGTGGTGAAATGTTTCTACTTTTTATTCATTAGTGGAGCCGAGTTGTCAACACCAGCGTGACGTAAGCCTTAATCAGGACGTTTTGAAGATGCGTTTCATTGCTTTTCACGTGTCAGTCAGTGGAGAGCCAAGCATATCGCGGTTGAAACGCATCTGAATTCTTTCCAGTTTTATCTTACCTAACCTCCGGTCCTACTGGTAAGAAACAGCGGCTTCCTTCTAAAAGAAATTGTTTTTATTCTCCTTTCTGGTCTGGCGTCTGCGCGCTTCCTTTTTGTTACCTGCTGCATTTCATCTAATGCTCTTTAAATTATGAAAAAAGCCATCGAGGACTATTTTAAATACGGTTACAAAAAAAGAGAGGTAGCGATAATGAGGAACCAACCCAGGTGGAGAGGCAGAAAGGATGGAGCACTCCAGTGTAATCAACGTAGCCGACTTGTACGCGCAGAAACGGGCGAAAAAATCACATTCTATTAATATCCCTTTCTTGCGTGTTTCCTTTCAATATCCCCTGCACCGCGCTTTCCTACGGTTTCTGTGGTCTGTAGCCTCTTCAACACGCTGTTAGGTCACAACCAGTTCCTGGATCTGGAACACTTATCTCTAGCTCGCAGCTGGACAGTTGCCTCGCCTTTGGGGAGTTGGCTTGTGGGCTGCCTCCAGGCTCGCAGGGGAGGGGCGTGGGGAGGGCTTGCTCAGGCCTCACTGAGAAGGGGCGGGCCGGACAGTCCTTACCCTCCCCTCCCCTCCTGGGCCTCGGGGAGCAGCCACTGAGGACTGGGAGGTCAAGGCCCAGACACGGACTGGGACCTTCCCCAACTGGGGCCTGTGGCTTCCTTCCTGCCCGCACCCCCCACTTCCTAGGTTCAGGCCCTGGGAAGACGCTCTGCCCCCCCTCCCCTCCCTTCCCACTCCCCTTTCCCAC